ATGGACCTGGACGACTCATGCCAGGGGAGTGCATCTGTGATGATCGAACAACCAGAGAGGGACAGTGACTTGGGTCACCGCCGCCACTCGGAGTGGTAAGGACTGTTTGAGGTATCTCACTAAATTGTGAGATTTCATCTTCAATTATCTGTACAGTTTCTGCAGGAACAGTGGTAGAGTCATCAGGAGGGGGTCCGTACGTCTCTAAAGCTGCAACATCCGATGTCTTGACAACAAATGGGGTCAGCGTAGTTTGACGCTCGTTCGAAAGGCAGTCTTGTTTCTTCGTAGTATCATTGGAAGCGCCTTTCTTTCTGGGGTTTTGAAGATTCTTTCCTGTTCCGCTAGTCTTGAACTTTTTACTGAACCCTAGTTTCCGCGCAGGAGGGTTTTTGATTTTCTTGACCGCATAGGTACACGGCCCAGACCACTTGGTGGCGACATCTGGAGTACGAAATAAGAAACCGCAGATGCGATCTCCTTCCCTGATTTTGGAGTCATCAATGTAATGTAGTCCTACAGCATTGTTGTAACATAAGAATTTGCTTTTCGGTCCTTCATTTTCAAGCACATAGAAATGTTCAGCAGGTTGTTGGTCACCATTCAATGGGTCATGACCTTGATGTATTATCAACGCAACACATTGCCAGGAGTAACCACTGGAAAAGAGAGAGTCTTTTCCCAGGAAGTTTCTATAGGTGTTTGCTGGTGGGTGGGATTCTCTGATATATTGCAGCCATACTAAACGGCTAGCAGCACTGGTGTTAACTAGAAAGTTGCTAGAGGAAGCACACTCGTTGCAGTACTGCTGCTCACTAGTTGTGTCGCTGAGCAATAACCTGTCTGTCCATGGCGCTGCAGAGTTGAAAAAGTCATGCCCAAGTGCGTTCTGTGGCAGTGGCTGCAAGACAAAGAAAGTCGATACAAAATGTGATGAGCTAACTCCACAAACGCCACAGTCAAAGGTAACCAAGGAACAGATTTTCTGCAGGAACGGTGCAGAGAGATTGACTGCCATTGAATCGAAGGTACGTTGTACTTCTCCATGTACTTGTTTTGGAAGGGCGCACATTGCTAGCGCTAAATGAAAGGGCCCAAAATTGTGGTTGCGCAAATTAACAGCAGTGGTCCACCCTTGGGCAACGGCTTTCATCGCTTGATGAACGATGTGGTCCTCAAATTCAACTTTTATGCTCCAGTCTGCCTTAGAAAGTATTCTCAACGCAGTAGTATAGAAGCAGGCTGTGGCATTGAGGTTGTCATAGATAACTGCAGCTTGTTTGTGGTCTTGTTCGTCAAACGCCATACTAGTTAGCGAAGCATCACGCGAGACAATTTGTTTGAGGGTATGCACGTGCGTGAGCTGTCTTTGTTCTTCAAATGAAAGGGTTGCAGGCGGGATTACACGGTCAGGTAGTCCCCTCGGGGCTATGCCATTGCTTGCAGCAACGTCACCAGTGGTGGTACAAGCTGTACCGTTGGCAGGAGGGCTTTCCTCAATGAGATCAACAGCACTATCCTCAATTACTTGGCCATCCTGGATAGGAAATTGAGCTACTAGGGCCGCAACCCTTTCAGCATCTGACATCTGAACTTCTTGAATGAGACTGGCATCGAGCCGAGCATCAACTTCTTGACTGTGTTGACTATTTTGCATACTGGTGGTATTACCAGGAAGCAGAGAGGGCGCAGCTGAGTAGTCAGCAAGCTGTTTACTTAGCTCATCTATGATTTTCAACTCCTGCGATTCTTCTAGCATCGAGCTAGCATCAATAGCCGTGAGCGGGGAGGGAGTCACTACAGACAATTCAGCAGGATCTTCAACATCTGTAGAGGAAGGTTGTTCAATGAAAGGAGTTTCTTGTTCAAAGTACTTCTGAACTTTGTAATTGTCATGCATTTGACAGTCCCCACTAGAGTCTTGATCAATGGATGGCTCTGGAACGGCAGTTGCAACGATAGCTGGGTTGATAATCTGCTGATCGCCATTTTCCTGATTTCGCAGGAGCAAAGCTTGTAGATTACGTTTGCCACGTGTGATGTCTGATTGTTCTTGCTGATTACTATTGGGATGTTCTGATTTGATTTGTTCATCGTCGCCATCATCTGCACTGGGAAGCTTGGGGATTGGCACTTTCCGAATTAGCGCATCCAGTGTATCCTGATTGCGTTTGTTGATTGTAACTGTCGAAGGAATGTCGGCGCCTAGAGTCGATGAAGAAAGTTGCTTGCTGGCAACTATTGGGACCTTGGTATTAGCGGGACCTTCAGAAGAACGTTGCGATATATCTTGAGCAACTGAAGGCGAAGTCCAACCTGGCGGACGGACCTTCCCGTCTTTTTTTCAGAGGTCAAGAGCTTGGGGGCCGTTTGGACTCCTCCTGATCCCGGCGTGGAAGGGCCCACCACCACCTCTGCACCCATGTTCGGCGCTCTGAAGCAGCGGGGGGAGACTTCTCGGGTGAGAACTCACTCCCAGATGTGGGTGTCAACACCTTGAGTGGGCAGCGCCGCGTTCACAACGAAAGACCTCGAGCGCCCGCAAGAGGGAAAAATGCTGTCGGGTAAAGCGGTTCGGGAATATTCGCAGTTTGTGCCTTGGCACTAAAGTGAATGTTTCAGTGGCAGAACCGACCCGTGGCCATTTTGGCCACAAGCTCACCCGTTCTCCAGTGCTGTTTTTCCCACCACCACCCACCCCAAGAATGCTCTGGGTGTCGACTTCTCGGGTGAGAACTCACAGGTGCAGGTCCACAGCGGGAACGCATGGGTCCGAGATGTGGATAGCCTTACGCATGAGTCCAAGATGTGGATATCAACACCTTGAGTGGGTATAGCGCCGCGTTCCCTTGGCCCTAAGCCAACGAAAGACCTCGAGCGCCCGCAAGAAGGAAAAATGCTGTCGGGTGAAGCGGTTGGGAACATTCAACAGAAACCCTCTAATCACAATGGAGCATGATCCAAGCATGATCCGACCATGATCCGACCATGACCCGAGACCGTCTCGCAACCGTCGAACCTCGAAGCTTCCCCGAGGTTCGGAGAAGCATGGAGGTTCACTTTAAAGTGCTGTGCCTGTCACGAAATCTGCGCATGGAGCTTCGTGCCTGCCACGAAATCTGCGCATGGAGGTTCACAAAGTACGCGCCTGCCACGCAAGCATATGGGTTCACAAGGTGCTGTGCCTGCCACGAAATCTGCACTTCGAGAAACAACTGAAACCTCCAATCACAATGGAGCGATTCCGAGCATGATCCCACCATGATCCGACCATGACCCGAGACCGTCTGCAACCGTCGTTCCGCGGAGCTTCCCCGTCGAGGTCGGAAGTGCTGTGCCTGCCACGAAAATCTGCGCATGGAGGTTCGCAAAGCGTTGCGCCTGCCACGACTGCGCATCAAGGTTCACAAAGCTCTGCACATGGAGGTTCACAAAGTGCTGTGCCTGCCACGAAATCTGCACATGGAGGTTCATAAGGTGCTGTGCCTGCCACGTAAACTGGAGCTAGAGCCATTGAAACTAGAGCTAACTGGAGCTAGAGCTCTTGAAACTAGAGCTACCTGGAGCTAGAGCCATTGAAACTAGAGCTACCTGGAGCTAGCGCTACCGAAACTAGAGCTACCTGGAGCTAGAGCTCTTGCAACTAGAGCGAACTGGAGCTAGAGCTCTTGAAACTAGAACTAACTGGATGATGAGTGGTGTATGTTAAGTGGTGCATGAGGAGTGGTGTATGATGAGTGGTGTATAATGAGTGGTGTATGATGAGTGGTGTATGATGAGTGGTGTTTGATGAG